GATGTGGTCTTCGAAGCGGCGAAATGACCTGCATAATCAGAAGAGTGGCAATGGAAAATTACATGTTGCACTTCTTCCTCGGTAATGCATCGTCGGAATATCCCATCGGTACCACGCTTAAACAAGAACGGGTCGTCCCAAAAATAATCCCGTACGTCATGGAGGAACTTCTTCCTTCCGTTATAATTAAGCTCGGACGGGAGTATTCGGGAGACCAGATAGTTCACGTAGTCTGCGTACCATGGGTCTTCGTGTCGGGAAGTGATTGCCATAATCTGTTCCTCTCGCAGAGAATCATCGATCGGGAGAGGGTCGGGTATTGCAAGGCATGAAAGGTGGTCTGCAACTGTGTTCTCCGTGCCTTTGCGATCTCGAATCTCGACGTCAAACTCTTTTATGAGTAGCATCCATCGAATCAGTCGAGTTTTGGCGTCTTTCTTCGTCAGCAAGTACTTCAAAGCCGTGTGGTCTGAGTATACGATCACTTTCCGTCCCACCAAGTACGACCTGAACTTCTCAAAAGCAAACACCACAGCAAGTAACTCTTTCTCAGTAGTAGTGTAATTTACCTGCGCATCATCAAGAGTTCGGCTTGCGTAGTAGATGGTGTGGTGTTTGTGATCCTTCTTCTGCCCCAGCACTGCTCCAACCACATAATCGCTAGCATCGCACATCAGCTCAAACGGTAGAGTCCAATCGGGGGGTTGTATGATCGGTGGTGAGATCAGAGCTGTCTTCAAAGTCTGGAAGGCCTTCGAGCATTCTGCAGTAAACCTGAAAGGTACATCCTTCGCCAAGAGCTCGGTAAGTGGTCTAGAGATCTTGGAGAAGTCCTTGATGAACCACCGATAGAATCCCGCATGTCCTAGAAAACTGCGGATGCCTTTGACATTCACGAGCGGTGGAAGCTTCTCAATAACCTCTATCTTCGCTCTGTCTACCTCGATTCCCCTAGAAGACACCTTATGTCCTAAAACAATCCCTTCTTGCACCATGAAGTGACACTTCTCCCAGTTGAGGACTAAGTTGGCCGCTGCACACCTGTCTAAAACTCGATGCAAATTGGCCAAACAAACGTCAAATGAGGGTCCATGGACAGAGAAATCGTCCATGAACACCTCCATAATATCCTCAATCACATCAGAAAATATAGCAGTCATGCATCTCTGAAAAGTGGCAGGTGCATTACATAATCCAAAGGACATACGACGATAAGCAAACGTGCCATAAGGATAAGTAAAGGTGGTCTACTCCTGGTCGCTCGGGTGAATGGGGATCTGGAAGAATCCCGAGTAACCGTCTAGAAAGCAAAAGTACGAATGGAGTGCAAGTCTCTCTAACATCTGATCAATAAAAGGCAAAGGGAAGTGATCCTTACGGGTGTTGGAGTTCAACTTACGATAGTCGATGCACATCCTCCATCCCGTGACCGTCCGCGTAGG